TCCTTACATTTGAATAGCACTTTTTCACGTTAGGATATACTGTAAAGTGGAGTGACTGTTTTTTTTTTCAATGGGGGAATGCGGCAGCTAACTTGCACACAGCAAGATCACAAGTGACGTTTTTATTTCATATGGAGGACTGTTGGCCAGAACACCAGGACAAACTCTCTTCTCTCTTGCAATAGTGCAAGACCAGGATCACAACCCTCTGATTCAGAGGCGGGAGCACAGTTTTGCAGCTGTGATCATGAGTTTTTTTTTCTATCAAACGATTTTCACACTGAACACCAAAAGAAAAGAAATCCAAGAATTTCAGTATCCCTCTAAATTCACAGCGTAGAATACGGGACTGTACGCTGACACCAGGCGTAATGTAGATTTCAAATCATTTATCGGTCGAGCTTAAAAAAAAAGAAACGCTAAAACCCCGATTAGAAATTATTTGATAAAAATTGCCTTTCTATTGCCATCATTGGGCAGCACGACTAGCAACGGAGATCCTATCTACCTACGCCATGATAATAAATGCCTTTTACCTGCCATCCACCCTCACCGGAAACCAGTTACGCAACCAAACCACAACTGACGTTTGGGAGTCTGAGGGGGGCCGAAGAAATTGTAACTTCACCAAAGACAAACTCACCATAAATTCGGGCCTTAGGTTTGCCGGATCGCACATTGTTGCAGAAAACACGCGGAATGACCTCAGTGTCGCATTTGGTTATTCGATCAGACTGCAGACTGCACTCTGATCGAATTAGGGACCAACAACAACAACAACAAGATTCCATTTATAGAGCGCCTTTCAGGTCGGGAGGACGTCCCAAGGCGCTGGACAGTTGGGTCAGGACCCGAGCAGGGGGGAAATGGTCAGGGTGAGGGGAGGGAAGGGAGGGAGAGCGAGGAGGGGTAGAGAGTCGAGAGGGGAGCTGAAGGCTCGGTCAAAGAGAAAGGTCTTGAGACCGGCCTTGAAGGAGGAAAGGGAGGAGGCGGCGAAGGCACTGGGGGATGGAGTTCCAGAGCCTCGGGGCTGAGAGGCTGAAGGCCTGACCACCGATGGTAGGGCGGTTGGGGCGGGGGATGTGGAGCAGACCGGAGCCAGAGGAACGGAGGGTATGGGCAGGTAGATAGGGGGATAGTAGGTCAGAGAGGTAGGAGGGAGCGAGGCCGTGAATGGCCTTGTAGGTGAGGATGAGGATCTTGAAATCGATCCTCTGGGGGATGGGGAGCAGTGGAGGCGAGTGAGGGTGGGAGTGATGTGGAGTACATGAGCTGCAGAGTTCTGAATGACCTGCAGTGTGGAGGGAGGGCCGGGAAGGCCGGCGAGGAGAGAGTTCCCATAGTCCAGCCCTGAGGTGACAAAGGCGTGGACCAGAGTTTCAGCAGCGTGAGGGGTGAGGTAGTGCCGTAGTCTGGTGACATTCCGGAGGTGGTGGAAGGCGGTGCCAGTTGTGGTGCGGATATGGGGGAGAAAGGACAGCTCAGGGTCGAACAGAACCCCGAGGTTCCTGATGGCTTTGAGAGATGGAGAGTGCAGCCTTGGATGCTGATGCTGTCACCGCCTGTCAGTTAGTTATTGACAGAAAAGAGAGGAGCACAGTGTCACCCATGTACCCCACACGCGCACGTGCACGTACAACAACAACAACAACAACTTGCATTTATATAGCGCCCTTCACACAGGTTAGCCTCCCAGAGCGCCCGTAAGCCAGAAACACTGTCTCTTCACGTGTCCCACAAAATGCGTCCTTTAAAATAATGAGCAAAGTACAAGCTCGTCAGGACTATGTGACACGATCCAAATGAGGTCTTTTTTTTTTCGTAGAAAAAAACAGCTGGTGATAGAAATGGGTAAATTGGAGATCAGGTGCTTGTTTTTTTTTCTATACGGCCCCAAAACAAAGTTAACTTCTCTGCCACAACAAGGCAAGGCCCTCTCCTCCTCCGTAATATAACAATTCTTGCCTTTGATTATTGCACCTCACATCGTTGAGACGTCTCAAAACGTTTCACAGGATGGATGCACTGTGAAGTGTAGTGGCTGTGAATTTTGTGGGTGAAACGCGGCACCCATTTGTGCACAGCAGTGTCCCACAGACAGTTGTGGACTTAGTGACTTTATTATTAGTAGTAGTATTATTACTATTAATAATCCTTGCATTTGATGCAGCACCTTCTCACGTCTTTGAGACGTCTCAAAAGCCCTTCACAGAATATACTATAAAGTGACTCGACTGTTTGATTTTGTGGGGGAGACTCCTCACTGCTCCTCCATAACTTCAGTCAAACTTTTAATACAAATAAAAAAATCACACTTTCCGGACAGAAGTTGTGTAATATACAACAAATATAACTGCCATTGGTTAAGAGAGGCAAACTCTGCCCGCATTAAAAAAAAAGATGACTTATTCTTTGGATCGATCGCCGGATTCTTTTTATATTTTGTTTTATTTCCGTAGAAAAACAAAAACTGCAAAGGCCGCAAGCAATAATCGAATGAATGCTCTCAGGGGAATCACCGTTATTGTTGGGATTTTTTTTTTAGATGTAACGATAATAAGAAACCATAGCAAAAGCTTTGCCTTTGTGCTGCAAGTCAAAATCGAGCAGTGGAAAGACTGAGTGGTTGAGTTTCGTGCTCTCTCTCTCTCTCTCTCTCTCCCCCTCTCTCTCTCTCTCTGCCAACTATTGAATGAAGCAAAAAGGTGAAGAAACGTAATTTTTTTAAAAAATATATAACTTATTGGAAGCCACTTGACGACAGCGCACAGAGATTTGAAAAACATTCATGGGCCTGACCGGCGAGCTGCTCTTACGAACCCACGCCCGCCCGCCCGCACAGATTGCCGACGCGGTGAATCAGTTCAACGTCCTCTCTTGACGGTGAAAGATCGGAGCCGAAATGCATGATATCTCCGCTCGCACCGGCTCCGCCGGAGCGGTGAGAGCCAGGCGGAGAAATCCTCGTCGGCTGCGGCGCGTCAGCGAAGGGGCTGGGGTTTAATTTTTTTTTAACAAATTGTGCAGGAACGCACACCGCTCTTGAACCTCTTTCGTTCCAGCTCAAGAAAAAAAGAGTTGCACGTGCGTCTGGGGGAGACTGGGGAGGGTGGAGGGGATGGGGGGGTTATAGTCTATTAGCTCTCGCTTTGCTTGACATTGCAACCTCTCTCTCCTTTCATAACTGTATATTAAAAACCTCATCCACACTGTTAACAAATGAAACGGACACTTTTGCAGGATCGCACACCAACAAACACTTACGTCAGCCACCCTGTGAGGGTTTTTTCTTGATACGTACACCTTGTGCGCCTATTTATGCATAACATTCATATTTATATACATACATTGCACGTGTACACATAGTGTTTTTTGTTAAAAATGCGGCATTGCTACAAATTAACCCCACACTGAGTGCCTCGCACTTGGAAAAGGTTTCCCTTTTGTTCTGGAAAGAGGGAGAGAGAGAGAGAGAGAAAGAGATGAGACGCACACACACACACACACGAACACACAGAGACACAGAGAGAGACACAGAGACACACACACACAGAGACACAACACACACGCGCACACAGAGACACAGAGAGAGACACACAGAGAGACACAACACACACGCGCACACAGAGACACAGAGACACAGAGACATACACACACAGAGACAACACACACACAGAGACACAACACACGCGCACACAGAGAGAGACACAGAGACATACACACACACAGAGACAGAGACACACAGAGACATACACACACAGACACAGATAGAGAGAGAGAGGGGTACGCACACGCATACATGTATAGTCACACACAGATAGGGAGACACAGACACAGATACTGAGAGAGACACACACAGGGACATATACGCACAGACACGGACACGCACACACACATAGAGTTACACACAGAGAGACGCAGACACACACACACATAGACGCACTCACACATACATAGACACACACACATATATAGAGATATAGAGAGAGACACACGTAGAGACACACACATATATAGAGAGAGAGACATACACATATAGAGACACACATAGACACACTCACACACACATAGAGACACACATACACAGAGACACACACACACACACACAGACACATATACAGACACACACAGTGTCAGACAGAGAGACACACACAGACACAGTCAGAGAGAGAGACACACACAGTGACACACAAAGTGACACAGTGACACACAGAGAGAGACACCCACAGTGACACAGTGACAGACGCAGAGAGAGACACCCACAGTGACACAGTGACAGACGCAGAGAGAGACACCCACAGTGACACCCCCAGTCACACACACAGTGACATACACAGTGACACCCCCAGTCACACACAGTGACATACACAGTGACACCCCCAGTCACACACACAGTGACACACAGAGTGACACAGACACAGTGACACCCACAGTGACACAGAGAGACACCCACAGTGACACCCACAGTGACAGACACAGTGACAGACACAGTGACACAGGGAGACACACCCACAGTGACAGACAGTGACAGAGAGAGAGACAGACACAGTGACAGAGCGAGACACAGACACAGTGACAGACACAGAGACACCCATCCACAGTGACACACAGTGACACAGAGAGAGACAGACCCAGTGACAGAGAGAGAGACAGACACAGTGACAGACACAGTGACAGACACAGAGAAACCCACAGAGAGAGATACCCACAGTGACAGACACAGTGACACAGAGAGAGATACCCACAGTGACAGACACAGTGACACAGAGAGAGATACCCACAGTGACAGACACAGTGACAGACACAGTGACAGACACAGAGACAGACACAGAGACACCCACAGTGACAGACACCGTCACAGTGACAGACACAGTGATAGACACAGTGACACAGAGAGAGATACCCACAGTGACACAGAGAGAGACAGACACAGTGACAGACCAGTGACACACAGTGACACACAGTGACACAGTCCCCCCCCCCCCCCCGGGGTGACTGACCTGAAGCGGCCCCCGCAGTGCTGACAGCGATGGCCGACCCACCCCGGGTCACAGTCACAGCCGCCGCCCACACACCGCCCGAACACACAGGGCTCCGGGTCACAGGGCCCCCCCGGGACCCCCAGGGCCCCCCGGGCCCGGGCCGCCAGCACCAGGTACAGCAGCGCGGGCCACACACAGGCCCTGCCCGGCCCCGGGCCCCCGGGCCCCCGCCCCGGGCCCCCGGACACCCGCCCCGGCCCCGGGCCCCCGGCCCCGCCCCGGCCCCGGCCCCCGGACACCCGCCCCGGCCCCGGGCCCCGGACACCCCCCCGGGCCCCCGGGCCCCCGCCCCGGGGCTCCTCTCCCCCTCGTCATCTTACCCCGGACACCGGGCACTCTGTACCCCTCCCTCCTCCTCTCTCTCCTTCCCTCTCTCTCTCCTCTCTCTCCTCCTCTCTCTCCTCTCCTCTCTCTCCTTCTCTCTCTCCTTCTCTCCTCTTCCCTTCCTCTCTCTCCTCTCCCTCTCTCCCCTTCTCTCTCTCCTCTCTCCTCTCCTCTCTCCCTCTCCTCCTCTCTCTCCCTCTCCCCTCTCCCTCTCTCCTCTTCCCTCTCTCTCCTCTCTCTCCCTCTCCCTCTCCTTCCCTCTCTCTCCCCTCCCTCTCCTCTCCTCTCTCTCCCTCTCCTCCTTCCCCCTTTCCCTCTCCTCTCCTCTCCCTCTCTCCTCTCTCTCCTTCCCTCTCTCCCTCTCCCTCTCCTCTCCTCTCTCTCCTTCCCTCTCTCCCTCCCCTCTCCTCTCTCTCCTTCCCTCTCTCCCTCCTGCCCCTCACTCCTTCCTTCTCTCTTTCTCTTTCCTCCTCTCTTTCTTTCTTTCTTTCTTTCTTTCGTTCCTTCTCTCCCTCCCTCCCTCGCCCTCTCTCTCGCTCCTTCCTTCTCTCTCCTCCTCTTTCCCTCCTTGCTCCCTCCCTCCTTCCTTCTCTCTCTCTTTCCTTCTCTCTCCTCTCTTATCCCTCCCTCCCTCCCTCCTTCTGTCTCTCCCCTCTTTTTCCTCTCCCTCCCTCTCCCCCTTTCTTCCTCTCTCTTTTCCTCTCTCCCTCCCTCTTCCTCTCTCTCTCCCTCCCTCCCTCCTTCTCTCTCTCTCTTTTCCTCTCTCTCTCTCTCCCTCTCTCCCCTTAAGAGCAAAGAATAAAGCAAAATATCCTCTCTTTTCCTTCCACAGAGAGAGGAGAGAGAGAGGGAGAGAGAGGGGGGAAAGGGGTAGAGAGAGAGAGGAGCAAATTGCAATATAAATATATATAATATAATATATAATATATATATATATATATTCTCTCTCGAGTAAAAAAAAACAGGTTAGAACCAGGAGCTGCTGATGGTAAACAATTGCCTCACATCCCAACCCCTGAAACGTCTGCAAAGGGGGAGTCAGAGAGAGAGAGAGAGAGAGAGGAGGGGATGTGACCACAAGAGAGACAATAAATACAGCCTCTGCACATCAGGAGCACAAGGCAAACCTTTCCCTACACATATGTCAGAGTGATAAATAATTATGTCATATATGTATATATATATGTGTGTGTGTGTGTGTGTAATTATTATTTTTAGGGGGAAAAAAAAAGAGTCAGCTTTGCTTTGCTTCTTTTGTCTGTTCAAAAATTATATATATATATATTATATATATTTGTGTGTGTGCGCGCGCGCGTGTGTTTATTCTTAAAAAGCGCAAACTCTTGCGTCTTTCTTGTCCGTTCACTCTCCCGGGGGTCTCCTCGTCTTGTGCACACTCGGCTGCTTGTTAAAGGGGCAGTGCCCACCCCCCAGCTCTCTCACCCTCTACCCCCCATCGGCCGTCACGCTCTCAGGCGCTCGGTTCCCCCCCAAAAAAAACTCTGGAACGCTCTACCTCAATCTCTCCTTCTCCACCTTCAGGTCATCTCCCCCCACCCCCCCCACCCCTTCGGCTCAGCGTCGTGCTCCGTCACTGTCAAGCGCCCTGGGGCGCTAACCTGCGTGAGGGGCACTATATCAGCTCAAGTTGTTGTTGTTGTTGTTTGTTGGAAGCCAAAGCCCCAAAGAGTTAGTAGGCTCGCCCCGGCTGGACCCGGCTGTCTCACACACACACAGTGGCTTACCTCCCCACCCCATACAACGTTCAGCTTGGGAGTCTCGCCAACCTGCGTCCTGATACTCTCCGAGATTAGGTAAAGCGGGGGGGGGGGGAAGAGCACCCCTCAAAGAATGAGCAACCCATTCCTGACACTACCCTGCGTTGGGGGCGCTAAATAAATGCAAGGCGGTGGTGTGTTTCCGCGTGTGTCAGACGCCAGGATAACCAAACAAAAGATGAAAAGGTATCATGTCCCAACATCTCCCCCCGAACCCTCCGCCCCCACCCTTCAACGTTCACGATCTCCTCCAGGGTTTAATAATAACAATAATAATAATAATCCCTTTTAAAACGCATTTCAAAACCCTTTTTAATGTGTTACTCCCCCCATTTAACATGTGAGGGGGGTGTCAGCCTGGTTCAGCTGAGAGCACTCTCACCAACCAGTCAGAAATATTGGGGCGTAATCCCCGCACACATAGACAGGGAGGGACACTGGACTCATATCGTCTTGGGCTGTCACTTGATTGCACCGTCCTTCAGATCAGACATTAATCCAAGGTCCCGTCTGTCTGTACAGACGGACGTCAAAGATCCCACACGGCGGTTTTCTAAAGGAGAAGGGAATTTCTTCTGGTTTCCAAAAAAAAACTAGTCGTTCACTTTCCGGCTGTTTGTAGGATATTGCCGCACTCTCTCTCATTTTACATCTCGGTCCTCAGCGTAATTTTTTTTATTTCTCTCTCTCGTTGTCTCGCACAAATCACGCAAAGTGCTTTGAGACGTCTCGATGGCGTGATTAAGATACTAAAAATCAAACGCAAGGTTTATTATTTGTTATGTGTAATTTCTTACGAAGGTCTTTAAAACGTACTTTAAAAAAAAAGAAACATTAAGTTCTGGGAATTTGAAAAAAGTATTAAAAGGAGAGAATGCTGGAAATAGTCACGGAAAGCCTTGCATTTTTGGTATTAGCTCCTTTCATGGCACCTCAAAGCACTTCACACGATTTACTGTGACGTGATGAAGTGACTGTGTATTTGCAGGTGAACGCAGCAGCCCAATATAGGTATTGCCGCCCCTAATCCGGGACATTTCAGCAAAAATATATCCAAAATGGGCATTCGTGAAATGTAATTTCTTGACTAATTGTAGCCATTAAAGCATCCCTGGTCTTCATAAGACGTCTGTGAATTCAGGAAAAACGACAACTTTTCTTCTCTTTTACGGTTTCTGCAGAAAAGGGGGTTACAGAAGACCCATTACCACAGATTGCTTGATTTATAATTCAGAAAAGGCCTCTTGCCTTTGATGGCTTTATTTTTAACCTGGCTTCATCCATTGACATTGCTCGCCTCACTATCTCAAATGAAACGCTTATAACTCAATCGTATAATCTTTGGCGATAATGTTAGTACTAAATCCAGTCCTCAGCCAATAAGCGCATCTTCCGGTCTTTATGATCTGACGCAGTATGATGGCAGGTCTATCCTTACAATAAATTTTAAGTAGCAATAAAAGGGGGTGTGGGAGGGGGTGGGAGAGAGAGGGGGAACACGGGTTTCTGGAAAACAGATCAGAAAATGCTGGGAATGATCTGAAAGAAAGCGAGATTAATGTTTCGGGCGAGACTCTCTGTCATAACTGAATAATACCAAACACTGCCTCAGAGAACACAATAAAGAGATCAATGGTGTGCGTCCCCCACAACAAACAAAACAGAACATCCAATTACGTCATTTCAAGGTCCATTTGTAATAATAATTTGTTTTGTAATAATAATTTGTAAAATTATTTCTAATAATAATTCGGTCACTCAACCCACGACTGTTTGTGGGGGACGCTGCTGTGCGCAATTGGCTGCCACGTTTCGCCCACAAAATACGCAGTCAATTCACTTTACAGTGTATCTTGTGAAGCCCTTTGAGATGTCTCGAAGATGTGATAAGACGCTGGGCCAAATGCAAGGATTGCTATTGTATTTGAAGTATATAACATGCAACAAAACACACAGTCCTGCATTTGTTTGTTTAATAACAATAAAAAGGCTCCCATTCAGAATTTATGGGCCACCCAATAGGCAGAAGCCACAAGGAAGTTGGGATCATACTTATAGACTGAACGAGATGGTCAAGTCACATTGTTTCCGATACGCCAGGTGTTTTCACAAGAGACCACACAGCGATTGCCGAGATCGAAGGCAGTAGCTGTGAACTGCTGTCTCACGTGGAGAGGATGCTTATGGAGAAAGAAAGTGCTGTTGAAAGATACAAAGGGATAAGTTACCATCTTAAGAGGTTTCCGTAAACGGTTCATTTTGTATCATTGGTCACAACAACAACAATAATAATCCTTGTTCTTGATGTAGCGCCTCATCACATTTTCTAGACTTCCAAAGAGCTTCACACAATATACTGTCAAGTGTAGTGACTGTCTATGTTGTGGGAAAAACTCGGCAACCAATTGCGCACAGCGGTGGCCTGCAAAACACTCGTGGATTGAGTGTCCAATTTATTATTATTTTTTTGAAGGAATTATTACCCCCGGAAAAGCAATCCGTCAATCGACTAACAACCAGGTTCCTACTTATTGTTAGGTAAACAGAGGCGTGTGAAATAATAATCCTTGCATTTTGATATAGCGCTTTTCACGTCGGGAGGACGTCCCAAAGCGCTTCACAGAACACACTTAAATGAATTGACTGTATATTTGTGGGCGAACGCGGCAGCCAATTGCGCACAGCAATGTCCCACAGACAGTCGTAGATTGAAAATGACCAATTTATTATTGTTTTTGGTTTCTTTGGAGGGATTATTATTAGGCTCTGTGTGGAGTAAGGAAACTTGCCCAAGGTTTCGCCCTCTGCCTGAAATTGAACTCAGGTCTCTCACTTGCAAAGCGAGTGCTCTAACCACTGAGCTACAGGACTCCACTTGATGACATTTCTAGGCTGCTTTCAGTGATCAAACTACTGCACAGTAAAAATAGGATAAACCTGTCAATCCTCACCAAATCTGTAAACGCTGCATATATTATATAAATACAAAATGGTGATATGATTGCGAAGCTGTAATCGTCTAGATTACAACAATACTCAATACAACAGATATATAAATCACTCAAAGTTTAGTTTACATCTGAACCCATTGATAAAGGAATCAGCTGCTGCCTGACACATGCAAAACCTTATCGCTATGCTTAAGAGTATCCAAAAGCAGAGATTTGAATCAGTGGCATATGTAAAATATACTTATCCAAAACACACAGTCAATTCACTTTTACAGTGTATCCTGTGAAGAGCTTCGAGACGTCTCAATGACGTGATAAGGCGCTATATCAAGGATTATTATTATGTATTCCACCTATGCGCTGACATTTCCTGAGTCTAGAAAGGAAATGCACACTCTCTCCCTGGCCGGCCACAAACTATACCTAATTCCGGGAAATATCGACAACAACAGCAACAAAATTACATTTGTAAAGCGCCTTTCATGTCAGGAGGACGTTCCTGAGGAGCTGGACAGACAGAATTACGGACCTGAGCTGGGGGTTGGGGTCGGGGAGGATGAAGGGCACGGGGGGAAGCAGGGAGATCAAAAGCATGGTCAAAGAGGAGGGTCTTGAGGTGGGTCTTGAAGGAGGCGAGGGAGGTGGCGAGGTGGAGGGACTGTGAAATGGAGTTCCAGAGGATGGGAGCAGAGTGGTGGAAGACCCAATAGTGTATAGCCAATAGTGGGGCGAGCGAGACTGGGGACGTCAAGCAGGCCTGAGCCGGCTGAATGGAGGGAGCAAACAGGGTGGTAGGGGGTTAGGAGGTCGGAGCAAGACCATGGAGGTCTTTGAAGGTGAGGACCCGGATCTTGAACTGTATCAGCGAACACAGCACAGCTTGCCGTTGAGAGCGCTGTCTGGGAAGCTTCCCGCTGCTTGTCCAACTAGGACCTTGCTTGCTTGGGTTTTCAGAATCAACAGGAGTCGAGTGGGAAGAATTTCTGCCCCACTAAGTCCTGTCACCTTGGTCATAGCTTCAGCTCGAAAGAAACCTTGCTGAAGTCTTCCCCGCTCGAGGCAGTCACTAGTCGGTCAATTGATCATTTGGTCGCTGATGTTAATGAAGTTCTCGCCATCGAGAAACTAAGGGAATAAACACATCTGCCTGAAATCTATGCATTTGAGCAAATTAAACCCCACAATATAATCGATGGACAGGGAATTGATTTCCGTCTGTATGCTAGAAGGAATGTGGAGTGGAAGGAACCCAGTTCTATATGGCCTGGGAGAATGATCAGAGATACAAATATCTTATATCGCAGTCCTGGAGCACTCGCCTTGCAAGCAAGAGACCTGGGTTCGATTCCCAGGGCAGGGCGAAACGTTGGGCAAGTTTCCTTACTCCACATGTCTCTGTTTACCTAGCAGTAAGTAGGAAGCCTGTTGTTAGTCAATTGCCAGATCACTTTTTCAGGGGTAATAATTCCTTCAAAATAAATAAATAATAATTTGGTCACTCAATCCACGACTATTTATGGGACACTGCGCTGTGCGCAATTGGCTGCCGTGTTTGGCCCACAAACTATACAGACCGTTCACTTTACAGTATACTCTGTGGAACGCTTTGAGATGCCTTGAAGACGCGATAAGGAGTTATATCAAATGCAAGGGTTATTATATTATTATATCTTGGATTGAGTCCCATTCCAGAATTCAACAAAGTCCCCGAACCCATTCGAAAAAGTTTCCTGGGTGCATAATAACAATATTATATGCTCTAAGTCACAAATAACAAGATACTGCACTAAAACTGTCTGATGTAAAAAAAAGCTGCGGTTTCAATCACGTTGAAATGACTTAAAGCACTTCAGAAATAATTGCTGTCGAATAATAAATAATAGTAATAATCTCGACATTTAATATCGCGATTTGTTCCAGAGCACTTCACAGGATACACTGTAAAGTATAATGACTGTGTATTTTGTAGGCACAAGTTTCCCACAAATAGCCACAATGTAAATAACGTCACCATATTTTTATTAGCCATCTGAACAGGCAGAAGGGTCTCAGTTTATCATCTCACCTGAAACACAGCACTATTAATCCATTACTGCATTTGAGTTTCAACCTAGACTGAACCAATTTGCTGAATTCTGGATACCATGAAATCCGCTAACAACAACAAAAAAAGTAAAGCGAGACCCAGATGGAATTTCTCCTCCATAAATTGGATAATTGAATTAAAAAAGGCAATTTATGTAGAAAATAGGGTAATTAATGTATGTAATACAAGCGTATTCTATGACTGTGGGTGCAATAACAACAACTTGAATTTATATAGCGTCCTCCGTGCCAGGTAGGGTCTCGGAGTGCTTCACAGTCTGACCATAGTACAATGTCACAAACAGCACAATTGTCAGTGGCCGATATCTCAAGTTTCATCACATTTTAGCTGAACTTTCAGGACGCATAACTGGCAAAGGCGAGTTTGTGTGGGCAGCATTAATGAACGGA